AACAACAACACACAAATACATCAGTACAAATACCCAACAAGATTGGGTTTCCATTTACACGCAGAGAAATATCAGTTCAGGTAAACAACAGTCATCATGAGCAGTGATAGCCTCCATGGCTAAACAGACACAGGAAGGAGCGCCACCTAAAGACACTCAAACATTTACAGAACAACTAATGAGAAGATGTCAAAGTACCGCCCACAATGTTTGATTGACAGGTGATCTCTGTGCAGTGAGGAAACACCACAACAATCAGCTCTCAGCAACAAACATGAAGACAAAAGCAGTTCATGGATTCAAACTCAGAATTTAACCCACAGTCCCTTAAATGTCCAGTGTGTAAAATGTAGTGGCCTTTTCGCAGTGTAGTTGCAGATTGCAACTCCTTCGCTTCACCCTCCCCTTCAGAATCAGAATCAGAATTAGGTTTATTGCCAAGTAAGTTTTTACACCTACGAGGAATTTGTCTTAGTGCGTTGGTGCATAAACTATACAAATATACAAATCACACAAAAATCACACAAAAGTCTAAAAATCAAAAGAAATAAAGATAAGAAAACTGTACAGCAACTATACACCTTCTGTCTGACCGTAAGCCCCCCTGACTTCTTGAATTCTGATTATAGAACATAAAAATATGTGTAACCAAATATAAAAAATAATATATTCATTTCATGATTTTTTGGGAGGAACTGACGTAGGCTGCACATTTTCCATTTGTTGTTGAAACTAAAATATTTGACCTTTTAAAACCTGAGCTTCTCTCTGGTTGAGTGTCAACTAAGGAAACGTCTTTGGAACATCATAAATCTCCACTAACCATAAATGATTGTGTATTAATGATTTAAAATGAGACTGAAAATGTTATTGGTTTCACTTGTCAATTCCTGCTGATGTTGATTCTTATTGAACTGAAAGCAACATTTCATATGTATATTGTCATGATTATAACATCATTCCTTTAGTCCTTCTGTACTGTAAAAGGTGAATGAAAGCTGGTGAAAGTGGAAAGGACAGAGACTGACTGACAAATGCTCTCCTGCTCTGAACATGAACTCTGAACTTTGTGGTGTTTCAGGAGGAAAACTGCCTCAGTTATACTCTCAGATTAGTTTCACAGTTTAGATGCATAAGTGGGTCTAAAATGACCCGGTGAGGTCGTTTTCTTGCAATATCTTTGTAATGAAAAGTTGATATCGTTTCATATTCCAGGTATTCTTCAAAAAACATGTTATTGACATAATGCCATTTCAATTTTTAACTTATCTTTTATACATTTTTCGAAATTGTAGTTTTTGTATTACTACCCCAAGCTTCCATAAGTGGGTCAAAAATGACCCGCATTCATTTCTTATGGGACTTCATGGGAATCTTTGATTCTTATAAACTGTGACTGTCAGGAATATGTATTCTGTGGACCACACAGACTATATCATAAGTGTCACCCCTTAAGAAGATTATTTTACACAGCAAGATCTGATACATGTAAGTATTGTCTTCATTTTTTACCTCAGAAATGTGTGTGCGTGTCATTCATGACTACTGTGTGAAAGAGTATCATCTATCTCTATCAGCAAATTAGCCTACTTTAAAGTTAGCTCACACTAGATAGCTAAGTAAGCTAGCTAACATTACTGTATGTTACGTGTGTGTGTGTGTGTGCATTTATTTATATAGCTACTTATTGATCAATAGGTTTGCTTGTCATTCAAAACCTTCTCTTCCTTTTTATGTTTTCTCATCCAAGGTGTCATGGCTGCTAGGTATACAGTTGAAATGGTCCTACAGATGCTGGATGGGATTTGACTAGAATCTGAAATACACACACACACACACACACACACACACACACACACCGCACAGGCATGCACACACACACACAAAATGGATATTGACATCGTTCTATTGCTGTTGTGTAATTTTGTGTTTCAAATTCTTTTCAAAGTTTTCAATTTTTTTTCAAAATGTTAAAAATGTTAAAAAAGTGAAAAATAAAAATATTTCATACGTGTAATCATTCTTGTGTGGACCAAAATATAATACAAAGTATAATACAAATGATTATTCTTAACTAAAATGACAAAAATGGCATAAAAACCCATTGATTCTAATACGGGTCATTTTTGACCCACTTATGGAAGAGTGTAGGGTCCAGTCACTCGTGCATCTAAGGGTTGGAGCACTCTTATAAGAAACACACTGTGTTCTTTCAGATCTTTTAAGTAAGACTTCATCAATTCAAGAGTCAGACCGACACGCCACATTGATTTTCCAGTGGTCTAGGAGTATACATTGATCTATGGTGTAAAAAGCTGCATGAGAAGCTTCAGTGAACTTTAATAAACTGTCTGTATTTGGGGAGTTCATGGTTTAGATTCCCTTTGTTAAAGTCACGGAGGATAACAACTAAAGATTCCAGGTTCATCTACTCCACACTCAGTATCTGGTCAGTTGGCCTGAGGTGGAATGTAACCACCGACCAGTATGAAGGAGGTGAACTCACGGGGGGAGTAGAAAGGTTTACAGCTGATGAAAAAAGACTCCAGATCAGGAGAACAGTGCTGTACAGTCACTGTCACATCATTACACCAGCCACTGTCAGTGTACAAACAGATACCTCCACCTTTCGTTCTGCCTGAGAGTTCTGTGTCGTGATCCGCTCTGAAAAGTTGGAAACCTGCCAGCTGCAGCACAGAGTCCGGTATCGATCCACACAGCCACGTTTCTGTGAAACACTAAACTGAAGATGAAGAAAAGTCTCTGTTTTTATCTCCAGATTGAGGAACAGACAAAAGGCTCAGTCTCTGAGAACCTCAGGTTTCTATCAGAGCTAGCAGAAGTAGTGGTAATATTTGTTGTAGCAGTAGCTGTATCTGTGATTGTAGAATTTACTGTATTGGATTAGTTGCAGTAGAAATAGTATTTGAATTATTTTTAGAAGTATTAACAACAACAATGACAGTAATACTAGTTGTTTACTGTTGTGTGTTTTTATCCACTAGATTTGTTTTTTGTTTTGTTTTTGTTCCAGTAAAATAAGAGGTAAGAATATCATCATGTTGTCATGGCGACCATCATGAGCATCATCTGGATACCCTTGCACTTCCTCTGACTAACCACAGGGTGGTGGTGTTTCTCTCTGATGTTTAATGTCAGCACCAGCAGCAAACACAGAAATCCACCATATGATAAACTTTAGTTTCCAATCTGTCACACAGCCATGGTGGAAGAGCTTATTTATTGGTGTGACACCTATCTAACACCGTACAGAGACATGTAATGTCACACAGGTCTCGTCTGGTGAGACAGTTGCAATATGTTGAAAATGATCAAACTGTTCAGGGTTATAACATACATGATAGAAAAACCATCTCTTAATATGATATTAAATATATCATAAATGTACCTTTATTATTATTTTATGTTATTTATTGCTGACTCATAAGATTGTTTAAAATCCAGATCATGAAGAAATAAGACTTGTCAACAGAGGTCAAGGAGCCAGAAATCCCCTCCCCTAATGAGTAAAATAAACAATAAAAACAAAAAATGAGACATCATGAATTAATCATCAAGAGAGAAACATGTCTTGAAATAATATCTGTTAATTCAATTTGAAGAAACGATGATGGTAGAGAAAAACACAAATATCTGATGAATAAAATGTCATATACTGACACAATGTTCAGTTTTCTGATAAGAAGGACAGAGGCCTCGTTAGAGTTTGAGAGAGTTAACAATCTTAAAAAAAGTTTTTTTCAGCAAAAAGTTCATTAGTAGTTTTCTGATCATCCCTGTTTGAGTTTTTTCCAATTTAATTTCTTATCAGTTGAGAAACTTGAGATATGTTTTTTCCCTCTACTGACACTCTAGCATAATCTCCGTCATACCTCCTGCCCCTTCCCACAATCATTATGAAATCTCACTTTTTAATATTTAATGTGCAATGTGAAACCATCTTGAAACTGTCACCAATTCCTCATTTAATTTCACTTACTAGAGTGTGTAAGTTAAGATTGAAGAGAACAAAAAAGGAAAACAAAACTTATAACTAAAAAATCATTCCTATACATTTTTAGAAAACAATATTTAAGCAGAGAGTTTGAGGAGTTCATGAGTGTGTACAGCAGCAGATATGAATCTGTTCTCAGTGGTTATTAGGACTCATAAAAAACTGTTGACAGCGAATCAACACTTCCTTTCCTGCAGCAGACGGGCTGTGTGGGTTTCCTCTCTGCAGCCTCCTCACCGTTAGCTGCACTTTTTCACATTAATAACACAATGACAGTTACAACCATCGACTCTGGTTAAAGAATCATTCCAGGAACTTCAGTTTGATTTCAGCTCTCAGTACTCACTGTGAAAGTTGTCTTTAATTCAAACTGTTTTATTGATTCTGTAAAGGTGACAGTTTAATGACAGTTTCTCCAGCCTGACTCCAACTTGTAACATAATACAACATATTAGGACATGTGGGAAAGGATCCTAGCCTGCATACATTAACATCATCAATACAAAGACAATTTCTAATTTATTTGTTCATTCTTAACATGTTACAAATTAGAATAGAAACTGATCAAGCTGCTGTATCATCATTTTATAGCAGTTGTAGCTTCAAAGCAGCAGCTCTGCTGTTTGTCAGCAGTGTCGTCAGCGTAGAGTTTTACATCCACACTGACACAGTTATAAAAGGGGCTCAGCACTAAAGCCAGTGACACTGATTGTGTTTCTATTTTTTGCTATGAAGTCAAATTGAAATTCACAAATACAATACAAAAACAGAAAATAAGAACATAGAAAATATAAACAGTAAATATCTAGCAGACAGATAATAATTCAGCTTTTCTATGATTATACGAGTCACAATTAAAAGTGGAAATAAACTAGAGCTAAACTAAACTAAACTAACACTACAGTAGCAAAGAATTTACACTAACAACCTCAAATATATATGTGTATGTGTATGTATTTATATTTTCTGGAGCACTTTATTGAACCTGTTTTTTAAAAGATAGGTTTCCCAATGAACCACAAACATAAAAAATAAATCTAAATTGGTATTTCTGTCTGCTGATCAAAGTGATAAATGAGATGAATTGATGAGATTTGATGGAGAGAAAAGGAGAGCAGAAAACAGTCAGTCAGCATGTGTGCAGTTGGTGGACGGTCCCTTGTTTCTGAGGATCATCAGCAGAGAGAGTCCACAGCAGTACACCAGACTCTTCACTATCAGCACTGTGTACATCAGACAGAGCAGCTTCACCTGGCACTGAGACTGGAAGGACACTGACAGACAGACAGACAGACAGACAGACAGACAGACAGACAGACAGACAGGTCAGTCTTCTCTCCACACTGTTTCAGTCTGTTCAACTGTGTAAATTTCATCAGTATAACTTGGACTTTTCCAGATGGGACAACCAGCTTTACATGAAGACAGGGGTCAGCTACAGTTTGAATGAAAGCTCAAAGGCTCTTATTAAATACAACAAGTCAGGGCCCCACCAAACTTTTAAAGTTCCTAAATAAGATTTGATTTTCTGTTTGATCCAAAACAAAAACTTGGAGCTAAAAGATACTAAAAGCTCCGTAGAGCTGCAGAGTTGGTGATGAATATCTGTGAGTTCACAACTACCAAAGACACTTCACTTTACACAGAGTCATTAGATTAATTCTTAATATAGAAATATTCATAGAGGAGCTTTAAGATATAGTCCCCAATGTTTTGGCAGAGGCAGCAGGTGATCTTACAGTCAGCTTGCTGCAGAGCTGGCAGGTCTGCTGGCTCTCTCTCTGGAGGACAGGAGGCTGCTGGAGCTGGAACCTCTGAAACAGAAAAGGAGTCAAAAAGAAATGTCAGTCCTCTGCTCCTCTGCTCTCTTTGACAGTGTCTCCACATGAAGCTGAATCACTGCTGAACACAGTGACCAAGCCTTCATTACCTTGTTCTGTTTGGGCCTCCACTGTGAACCCCTCGTGATGGACGGAGCAGCGGTATTTATATGTGCTGTTCTCTCGCTGAGGGATCAGCAAGATGGAGGTGGTGCGTCCCGACTCTCTGAGCTCCAGCTGCTCTCCCTCAGCAGAGGTCACGTCTTCCTCAGTACCATTGTCCTTTTGTCTTTTCCAGGAGAACCGGACCAGAGGAGGAAACATGTCTGAGGCCACACACAGCAGGGAGCTCTTCCCCTCCAGGTGGGCTCTGGATGCTGCTGGGTACACGCTCACCACGGGCTTCACTATCTGCTCATCTGAAGTTTGACAGCAGCAACAAGCAGCACAGACACACATTCACACAGTCAACAGCAGCTTACAGCACTGCACTGCATTCAGTCTGATCCTGGAAACTACATGGACTCTGATCACTAAACTACTCATCAATACAGCACAAAGTTCAATTCTTCAATCTGCCTTCAAGAAAAGAAAAAGTATTTTATATATTATGGTTAATGTTATTTTTTATAGCAAAGGACAAATTGATCTTAACATCAACACAACAGCCGATGGATGATTACAATATATTAGATATATTATATATTTACCAATATTCTTCACTCTAACTGCCAGATATCTACGGATATGAGACTTTATTGATCCTTCATGGGAGAATAATTAATATGACGTCATAAAATAAAATAAAATAAATCTGGAAATGTTGAAATCTTTAAATGTAAACTCAAAGTGAACTCTGTAGCTGGTTTTTAACTAGGAATGTTTTTTATTTATTATTTACCTCATTTTATTCTGTTATTTTATCAGATTTCCTTGTAAATTTCATTGTTAATGTATTTGATCAGTTTCTTTATTTTCTTTTAATCAATCTTATTGATTTCATTTGTCTTTATTTTTGCTTTCTTAATCTATTTGATCTAGTTTTTAGTATAGCTTTAAACACTATTTTTATATCTGTAAGATCTAATTAACTGTATTTTATTTTATTTATCTTTGTATTTTTTTGTAAAATCTGATTGAATACTTTTTGAAATTATAATATGTTCAGTATCTGATACATATTTACTGCTAAAAACTATAAAATGTGTTCACTTTTACAAATTGGAAATTATGTTAAGCATCATATAAAGTATTAAGATAGAAATGTGTGTGTATGCTATTATATATCATCATTATAGAAATATATTAATGAATGTGCATCATCCACTAAAAGACAATACAATTGTCATTATTTACATTTTACCATTAAAATTTTATTTTTTCCTACACAACATATTTTAAGTTAAATGCTTTTCAAACACATTTACTGATATACATTCAATAATATTTAATATATTATATTGTTTTATAAAACAAGAGATGGTTCTGAATTACTGAGATGATCAAATACTGTATATCTGTAACATTGCCAATATTGCACAATGATCACTGACATCATTAAAATATATGTTGAGGTGTATTTGTTATAATTAAATCCAGCAAGGTCGACTTATTTTGTGCTTTAGGATTTGGCCTTGTTGGTGCATTAATGAGTTGCACAAGGTTTAAGGAGTCACAGAGTTCTTTAAAACAATCTGCCAGCAGATACTAAAACATCTGTTTACTTTTACACATTTGAAATTATATTAAATTATATTAAATAAAATTATTATATTAAACATATACTATTTATATTAAAAGTCTATCAAGATACAAATACATATTTATACATTATATATCAGTCATCTATATTCATCATATATAGAAATAGAAATATATAAAGTGGTACGCATACATTCTCTTTATATCCAGTATCTGTTGTCCTTCAGCTATGAGTATATTTTCCTTTTAAAGACATTTGTACCATCATATAAAATACAATTAGCAAAATCTTACCAATAAAAAAACACACTTTTTCTTATACAACACATTTAAAGACACATACTGACACATATTTAATAATATTTAATATCATATATTATCTAGTTTCATTAAAACAGGAGATGGTTCTGAATTACTGAGATGATCAAATACTGTATATCTGTAACATTGCCAATATCATACTTTTTCTATATAAATCAGTTTGATCTCATGCAGAAATAAAGAATAACTTCAGTTGTGCAGTGAGATTTAAACATCTTTTCAGGAATTATGAACCTTTTTTATGTAACAATAGCTGCATGGCTGCAAGAATTCTCTACTAATTATGAAAAAACTAACATGTAAAGCCTGAAGCAGCAGAAACTCATTAAAAACACATTTTCAACTTGTTCAATAAAACAACTGAAGGAAAATGAAGGTTTATTCTTACCTGTTACATACAGTTTAGTTCCAGAGCCAAAGATGTCGTAGTAGTCTCCACTGTCAGCACAGTGAGAGAGACTAATACAAAAACCTGTCTGCTGTTGAATGTCTCTTTAGACACACTAGCAGTGTTGCTCTATGGATGGTAATGTCTGTCCGTCCACTACTTTAGTCCAGATGGATTGGACCTGGACCAAAGGATGGATGGATGGACAAATAAAATCTTGTACAGACATTCTTGGTCCTGGCTCCTGGAAGTTGCTCCATGTCCTCCCTGATTCATATTCTTCATATACGTTTACAGTCTACCTATACTATTCATTCTATTGTACATATTGTTGTTTTGGTCTATTCTGTACATACAACATTTATTGTATCTCATCCTGGAAGAGGGATCCCTCCTCTGTTGCTCTTCAAGGTACAAAGTAAGTTATTCTGTCAGTATACAACCAAGGTTGCACAATGAAAAGAAAGTAGCAGGTGGGCTGGTCCTGCCGTTCTGGCTGGGTGGATCGTCTCTTTAATCCAAACCCCACACTTCCTTTGCTGATGACTGCAGTCTATTTCTGTCAGAGGTAATACGTGTTTGAGCAATAAAGCTGAAAACAGATTGAACCTAAACAGAGAAGTTTGAAGGAGCTAGCCTACCGACCGCAGCATCTGAATGTGCAGCCGTTCCCAAAGCAGTAGAAATAATCAGGAGTTTTCCACCTTGATTTTTCACCTGTTAAAGGGTTTTTGTGGAGTTTCTCTTTATCTGAATGGAGGCTGTGAGGATAGAGGGTGTTGTATGCTGTACAGATTGTAAAGCCCCTTGAGGCCAGTTTGTGATTTGTGATATTGGTTCATTGGGTGAAGGGATGAGTCTTAAAGTGGAGATGAAACAGTCAAATATACATACATTATAATATATAAATGATAATAATAATCTAAGTCTCTTGCTCATTAGGAACAAGAATTGTACATTATGTGGATAAGAGGAGCTTCACTGAGTGAGCCTCTGAGAGAAACTCCGGTGAACAGTGTAAACTGACTTTAAAAGATCGCTAGCTCAGGTATTACTTGTAATATGTAACGAGAGTGCACGATTTTGCCTGTTTCCACACGCACTCACGCCACACATCCAATTTACCACGCAAAAAATGTTTTTGAAAGTGGTAAATTCCGATCTTGGGCCGAGACTCGTTTGTTCCTTTTTAAACTCCCCGACGGTAGAGGCGCTGCACCCATATATGCTACAGTCTATGGCACCCCGAAATTAACGACAGAAGAAGAGATGCTGCGAAAGACAGCAGGAGAAACTACCTCGAGAAGATGAGATGAGAATCTGAGCTGAGACTAGGTATGTAACAATGAAATGTCGTGCAATTGAGTACTCACTCTCTTAAACTTTAAATCTTAATAATAAATTATTTGTGTGTGTGAAAGCTGTCATAACAAGCAGCAGGAGAGCACCTTGTTAACCTCGTGGTATACTGCATGCTCACAATATCAGCTCATTGCATTGTTTATTTACTCACATGGCATTTATCTTTTTATTAACAGGCCAAAGAAAAGGACTGACACTGTGGACTTTTTCTGTAAGACCAAACAGCACTTCGAATAGGTAAGATGTATTCCAAAGAAACATAAATACAGGAAATGTGTGCAATAGAAGTAGACATGTTTTTGTAACTGAGAGTAGAGTTATTAAACCAACATGACAATTTGAATTCTTTTAAGGTTTCAAAGATGTCCCATAAGAGACCTTTGCCAGGACAAAAGCGAAACCTTTTATTTTATTTAAAGAACCAGCCAAGTAAGAAAAGACAGACAAACACACTGACAGAACAGCCAGAACGACTGATAGAAACGACAGGACAACAGACAGAGGAGCAACACACAGGACAGAGAGAGCAACAGACAGGACAGACTGACAGACGCGTAGAGGAGCAACAGACAGGACAGACAGACGCACATGTAGAGGAGCAACAGACAGGACAGATAGAACGACCAACAGGGCAGATGGAAGAAGACACAGAGGGACAGACAGAAGAGACCCCCCCAATCCAACAGCAGGGCCAGAAGAGTCGTGCTCTGGCTGGAGCAGCAACATATAGATGCATTTTCAAAAATAAGTGGACCTCTTCATGGCCATTTATTACCAGAGGGAGCCTCAACACACACTACTGGTGTGCAGTATGCCGTATTGAAAACTCATGTTGCCACCAGGGTGTGACAGATGTAGTCCATTTAAACTGACCGCCATGCTGGGAAGGCAGTGTAGCGTCATCAGTGAGACTTCGTCATCACTGTAACGTTACCTCCTCCTCCATCTAGGCCGTCACCTTGATACACACCTCCCCTCGCGTGGGTGTGTCTCGCCTACCTCTCCTGACCCCCCCCTCTCTCCCTCACACACACACACGCACACACACACACACACACACACACACACACACACATATATATACACACACACACACACACACACACACACACACACACACACACACACACATATACACACACACTATATCCAGGCATTCTTATTCGCCAATCTTTGATTTCTTTAGTAGTGGTAATACCGATTATAATTATATGATAACAGTTAAATTGATGATTCATTGTTAAATAAACTGCATTATATTTTCAATAGTCGGTTTCTGTGGTCATTGTGTGGAGTGTTATTGTACAATTTGCTGGTTGGCGGGTTCAGTGCTTGTGTCCACGCCTTCATATGTATGGTTTCCCCTTTGATTTAAATATTTAGATATTAAAGTTAAAGTAACCTACATGTAATTTTCAGACTGTAAATTGCAGATTTGATTGATTAGTCCCTGGTAACAGGGTGGTGCCCCGAGGAACATTCTGTAATTAATAATCAAAATATTAATTACGTAATTACCCAAATAATTAATTTTAATTATTACATTTTTGGAAATAGTGCAGGATGAAGCTTTAGCTTTCTGTTGAGCAAATATTTCATTTGATCATTTCTTTTTGAACACAGAGTCCCAGGGGGTGTAGAGAGATTCCTGCAGGCGCAACCCGGTCTCACTCCCAAGTGGTCAAATCCTGCAGCTCGGTCAGTGGCCCTCCGCTTCAAAATGTGACGCTGTAGGTATCCAGCAGCAGAACAAAGAGGAGGATCTGAATCTTTATCTCAAACATCTTCTTTGGAATTTGTTCTTCTATTATACAAAATATCTGTTTCTGTTTAGTTTGTACTTTTATTGTTTTCTCTTGATTTGATTTCATCATTGTGCTTCTGTTTGTATCCTTTCTCCTCACTGTGTGGAACAACAATAAACCTGCTGAAATATCTGATCAAAATATCAATCAATAGAATATGAAATCAATCCTGACAGCAGGAAAGAAAATCAGTCCCTCAGTTCAGTATGTTTGTGACTCTGGCTGAGATGGAGGTGAAATATGTGAACCTGGGCTGTGGTTTACTGCTCTCTTCCTGTCACACACACTGTTTGACATCTGTTGGTTTTTGTTCAGGCTGCAGGGATCATTTCTCACTGTGGGGAGCATACTTCCAACAGGCGCAGTAGTAGGTGGCTGAATGACTGAGTTTAACTGTCTGGATCTGCAACTCATAGACGTTCCCTTTATTCACAGCTGAGAAATCATCTTCCTGAGGATGATTGTAACTTTTATCTATGTCACCATCACTATCAATATACAGAATCCGTGTGAATGTTTCTGTGTCTTTCTTCTGGTACCAGAATACATAATCTAAGTCACACTGTTGAGTTCCTCCACAGCTGAAGGAGACGGTTTGACCAACTCTCCTGGTCAATGTTAAATGATCCTGACTCAGCTCTGCTGCCATGGCAACCAGCGCTGTAGAGAAACAGACAGATAGATGAAGGTTAGTGTGACAGTGTTTGTTAAAGGTTGACTTTGTTGGCTCCTGATTGGCTGGAAACACTCACCTGAACACAGACAGCACAGAGCAGCAGCTGGGAGGAAAAGCATTTTGTGCAGTGGTGTTTCCTCTGGTGAACCTGGGGAGAAGTGGCGCTCTGATGCAGCTGAGGCCAAACAAGGACGAGCTGTGAGATCAGACGAGGGCCACGTGGTTTCTAACAGGTCCTCAGACCTCCCATCAGCCCCTGCGGCCGACAGATAAGGCTGCCGCTGCTGATTGACAGCTCGGCTGAAGCTGCTGTGTGCTTTTCATTTCTTATTGACACTATTTCTCTTTGTTTTATTCTCATTATTTGGAGCTTTTTTCTGGATGATTCTTTTTTCCCAGACTTCTCTGTTTCTCTGAACTGATTCAGTGAGAAGTTTCTTCGTCTTGATTTGAATCTGACAGCAGATGAAAAATCTGGGTGACGATGATGCAGAAATAGAAAAAAGCATTCCTGTTGGCACAAACACATTCAGGTTGGTGGTGAATTTAGTAACACAGACTGTTATCTGTTGTTTAACAGCTGGGATGAAAATACAAAACTACAAATCCACAAAACTCCTCAACTGTGATTTGAAGCCTTAAACGTCCCCTTACATTTCTGTCATTTCATTTCATCATTTCATTTCTAGGACACATAAAACCTTTTCCACACACAGTATCACATCTTTATTGTGGATTCTGTTTGTAGTGCCCCTAATGCTAACCCAAAGGAAGTAGTAGTAGGGCAACTAACATCTAGCTAGGTCCGAGGTGTGGTGCCTTTAATAGCTCAGGACGAGTTAGTATGGGGATCGAACAGTTGACAGTATTTATTGCCTCACCCAACAATATCAACAGCAATTTAGATGGAATGAAAATAAAATCTAAAGTAAAATAGAGCTCTCTCAGTTGTATAGTAAAATAAAAGAAATAGTCCTTTAAGGAGTCTGATATTGAGTTCAGAGTTCAGGGTTCAGTTCCTGATCCTTGTACGTGTGTGCACTGAGTCTGCTACTACCCGGGTAGAGTTAATAGTGTGTACGCAGTCTTATCTGTTCCTGAATGGGTAAAGTTGTCTGTGTCTGGTTGTGCGGCGGTCCTCACTGCGTCCCCGACCCTCCACAGTCACTCTGGGCTCGCCATCATTGGATCCTCTAGATTCTTTCTGGTAGCTCAATAAACCAACCTGCACAAGTAGTGCGAGTATTAAGTTACTCTGTTCTGTTCTTATTTCTAACATGAGACCTCATTAACTTATTTTCTTAGTGCATCAATAACCAGTGACTAGAACATACTTTGTTGACAATGGAATGAATTAGCACATGTAATAGCAACTGGTACTTTAAGCACCAACAAATCTTAATCATGAATTTCTATAAACCTCAACAATTGGCTCATGCGCGTAAAGCTGCATGCTGCCTGTTACTCCAGCCTTTGAGTCTGCTTTTTTTAACTTCTTAACTTTTATTCTCTTTTTGTTCATTCTTATTTTTTCACTGTAACTCTATGAAGTCCTGCCCTCTCTAACGAGGTTGTTTGAGAGAGTTTTTGTGTTTTAATAACGCTTCCACCGGGACACGCTGCCGTTGTTTACTCCAGAGAACAGCTGAACGCACTTATGCCTGCGACCACTTTACACTTGCCATTTTTGCATATTTGAAAGTGGGACTTTAAATTATTAAATTATATATATATATATATATATATATGTATATATGTCTATTACATATGGAGTATATGTAACAAAAGTAATTTCCCCCTGGGATTATTAAAGGATGTCTGATTCTGATTCTGAATTGGTATTTTAACATCTACAAATTAATTATTTACCATCACTTTCTATATGTGACATTGTTTTTAACTGTTTCCAGACATCATTTTAATATTTTAGACTTTAAATATGAAATTTAATTGGATCACTACTAATGTATTTATCATGTACATTTTAATAAACAAAAGCAGCTCAAACACAGTGTAGTTGGGTTACAACTTATTAAAATGTATAACCAATTTAAAGCTGAATGATTTTAATATGAACACAATAAGTGCAATGTACCTTTAATATTTTTACTTACTTTTATTTTTACTTCACTTTATTTGCTAGTGATTAGCATTAAAACTTTTTTAAGAACAGTGATACAATATTCATTAAGACTAACATTTAGCCTTAGGTTAACCATTACCCAATTTTATAATTATTTTAAATTATGTTATAGAATTCATCTTTACTATGTTCATATATTATTTTCCAGTGAATCCCTCACTTTCAACCTGTAGTTATCAGCTCATACTACAGTTTATATGACAGTACTTCTATCTGTTCTGTGCTGCTGTGAAGAATAAAACCTTCACTCTGCTGCCCTCTAGTGTCTGCAACAACACACTGCTTCAAACTGTACTGCTACTGTCACTACTACTACAACTGTTTCTACTATTAGTGCCTTCTGATGTTGTTGAATTCATCTCTAGTATTTTGTTTCTATTTTAGATTTTATTGTTCAATCACACAGTCATTGAGAGTTACTGTTGCTTGATCAAACTGGTGTTTATGTAGAGCAGGGCCAATGAGCAGCATCTCAGTTTTATCAGAATTTAGGAGCAGGAAATGATGTGACATGTATTTTAACACAGCAGGCAGCAGTCCTGTAATTTATTAATTAAATAATATATCTTTTATTATGACACCACTATTTCCCTTAAAATAAGCAGCCATTGAGCGTCTGGTTATTCATTTTATTTTCCTCCCCTCAGTCTCAAGACTGCAAGAGTCTTTACATAGAGTCGATGCAGAGGGAGTCTACATGAGACGTCTAAGGCTGCGTGTATTAAGACAACGGCAGTATTCTGTTCCTGGCCCAAACTCTTTGTGGCATATAGATGGCCACCATAAGCTCATCAGGTCAGTGATATTAGCAGTTAAACAATGCATCTTTCTAGATGTTTCATTAAAAGTGTTTTACAATAAAGTTGTTATTTTTCATGTGTTCACAACAGGTGGAGATTTGTTCTCCATGGTGGGGTGGATGGATTCAGTCGTTTGGTGGTCTACCTGACTGTGGCTGGCAATAATAGAGCTCATACAGTCTTACAGAGCTTTATCGCTGCTGTTGAGCAGTATGGGCGGCCATCAAGGGTACGGTCTGATAAAGGGGGGAGAATGCAGATGTAGCAGAATTCATGATCAGAAGCAGAGGTACCGACAGGAATTCACACATCACAGGCAGAAGTGTCCACAATCAGCGGTAAATAAATATGTTTGGTAACTAGGCTCACACAACCAACGTACCAGTTGAATGCACGTCTTTAGCATATGTCACATAAATTAACAATTTGTCAATTTTATCCTAAACACAGAATAGAGAGGATGTGGAGAGATGTTTATGAACATACCTTGGACCTCTTCTATCAGATCTTCACTTCATTGGAAGATCAGGGAACACTGAATCCAGACAATGAAGTCCATCTTTTCACACTGCACCGGATCTTCCTTCCATTGATTCAGCAAAGCCTCGACTCTTTCCAAGAAAGAAATATGTAGAATAAAACAATAGTCAACTACTGCACAGTGTGTTAATGTTTTCAAAGACACTGAACTTGTGTCAATTGATCTGAACAAGTCCAAATCCAGTCTGTGCACTATTTATGGCAGAGACAAGTGCTTTCTCAAAGTCCATGTAGGTTTTGAAATGAGCTGGCAGCTTTAGTGTTTCGAAGCATGTGGAGGACGTAGGAAGGGTTCCCCCAGAAATCTCCACTCTCAGTTCAGGAGGAAGAATCTCCCAGCCAACCCAGAATGTCAGCTGCTGGGCCAGGGTACCTGATGAAGCTAAAAGTCATAAAATGGATTCAAGACATTTAGTTCAACTTTAATTGATCATATCGATCCATGTGACATAGAAGCATTTGTAAAGACAGCAATACATAAACCAAATAAGGTGTTTATACCTGTTTCAATGAACATCCTTAGAAAGCCAGTGGAGTCTAAGTCAAAGTCTTCATCATCACTGTCCTCAACTGGACATGTGATTTTTTTCTAGGAGCATCTTACTTGAGTAGTATAAACTGTACTGATACATTTATATGACAAACTTTATATTACTTACCAACAAGAGTACAATGAAGTGGACATGCCCATTCTTGCTGCTGTTTATAGAATAAGAGAAGTTCCCGTTCCCTGTCCTCTTCAGAGTCCCTTACATCCATCTTCATTCTAAGTGGTTTCCCAGATGCATGTTCCCTTAGCAGATTCTCTTTGAAAACTTTGGCAGCTTGAGTCGGTTCTTTAATAAGCTTCCATTATAAACAATAGAGTTATCTATTCCAGAGAGACATGTTGTGAGTTGGCATGTTACCTGCAGATACAGATATCCTCTCACTCTACAGAAAAGGAGGAAACTTCTGTCCATGTCACTGACAAAACGTGAGACCCAACATCTTCAGAATCTGTCACAAAGCTGAGTTGACATAAAAACAGCAAAACAGCATTCTGAACAAAAACTAAATATTAGAAAAATAGAAAATATAACCCAGTTGCATGTTATTAATTGTCTGTAACTGTATTATCTTATCTAACTATATCTTGCAGGTGTTATCTTTCTATTGACTGTTCAGTTTCAGTTACACACAATCTTATAGCAACCCTATTGTGATGACACAAACCACTGTCTGTTTCTTTGCGATCCAACTCCTCGTTGACAATCAATGCTGGTACTACTGCACTCTCAGCTGATGTTTCAGACAACACTGGAACACTGTCACTGACTAGGGCTGTCTCACTACCATTTTCTTCACTTTGGCCTCCCTCTTGTTCTCTTTCTGATTCCTGCATGGGTGTCCTTGAAGTTAACACAATTAAAATTATGGTCATACTCTCTTATTTGTGTGCACAACAGTCTAAGAGAGACATTTTCCCATAGAAAAATGAATATGCTACCCTTGCATTGCTTTAGGAAGTACATACTCATTGCAGCTCAATCTGTGCAGCTTCATCTCTGAAAAGGGAACTTCCTTCTGACAAGTGATGCAGGGGATGACTGGACCAGAGGCAGGACGTGAGCTCTCCTAACAACAACAAATGGCTTTTAAATAATGATTAAAAGTCACCAGTAATCTTTGTTTTGATTATGTATTAAACTAGGTCTCTGTAAATGTATGTACACAATCTAAGGGTAGATCCTGTTGAAGTGGACGTATGTAGATTGTAGCCTGTCCAATCATCGTCGATGGATCTTTCAGATAGGCAAGGCTGTATCCAGTGCTGGGACACTGAAGCAATTCAAGATTTCCACTGCGAGTAGATCCTACAAGTTTTAGAAATTCAAAGCCTCCCCCTTGTTGGAGCTTCTGAAACACTTCCATCAGTTTATTTGTTATAACCATGGGATCGTGGTCATTCCCTGGAGAAAAAATCATCATCAATAAATCATAACTCATATTGACTCACCTAAAACCAAGCAAATAAGCCTGTGATAACTATTATTCACACTATGAAAATCAATTAAGTTTGAGTCACTATAAAAAGAAATGCTGAGTAGAACTGCAAATAATTTCAACAAGCCACAGACAGTACAAACTTTTTTTGGTTTTGGTAAATGCCTAGTTTCTCACTGACCTGAAAATGTCACTTTTTGCTCTCCAAGTCCTGAAGTAAGAAGGTCCGCTTTAAACGGTACGCTTGGAACTCAAGCCAGCTAACACTATTTAGTCGATTAGCAATCTAGTTTTATGCTCCCACCATTAACAATGAACGTATTACGCACGAAGCATCATGAGCCTACCGCATACAAATACATTTTCAAGTCGATCTAATTTAGCCCACACCTGTGTCCCGAGTCATTGATTATTCCCCTTGATTTTTAGCCGTTGCAAATAAAGTTTTAAACAGTAAACAGAGTATCTAAACCAATGTAGAGGTGAATAGCGCCACCCAGTGTATTGGAAAGTGTTCACTAGCTCTGCATCGATCCATTATCTGGAAATGATTTGTCTTGGCTTGATGCGCAGGGTAACCAATCAGGCGTTAGGATCCGCCTACCAACTTTGATGGGCGAGTTTAACAGATTAAAGTAATTCATGAAGCACTGCAACACAGGACCATGAAATAATTAAATAAATAGTGAAATCATTATATATGTTTTTTTACATAAAATTAATTAGTATTTGAATGAATTAATGACACATTTAATTACACATTTAAGTAATTATTTAATGGCGTATTTATTTATTTAATTTTGGCACTTTTAGTCCTCCATAGGCATCACATCCTCTGTGTACTCATCCAGACTGTTTGTAGCTGTCAGATCAGTCCAAACATGCACAAAGATCCTCCACAACTTCCACTTCTTAAAACAGGTTCAGAGAACTCTAATTTCTGCCTGTATGCAGGAATCAGGTGGACCATGATGTGGTCAGAGTGTCCCAGTGGGGGACGGTGTGATAGACACTGCTGATTGTAGTGTAACAATGATCCAAAGTATTCTCCTCTCTGGTCAGACCTTTAATAAACTCTCTGTATTTGAGGAGTTCATAGCTTAGATTACCTTTGTTAAAGTTGCTGAGAAATATAATTCTAAAAAAAAAATCTAAAATATTAAGAGGTAAGAGCATCATCATGTCGTCACGGCGACCATCATGAGCATCATCTGGATACCCTTGCACTTCCTCTGACTAACCACAGGGTGGTGGTGTTTCTCTCTGATGTTTAATGTCAGCACCAGCAGCAAACACAGAAATCCACCATATGATAAACTTTAGTTTCCAATCTGTCACACAGCCATGGTGGAAGAGCTTATTTATTGGTGTGACACCTATCTAACACCGTACAGAGACATGTAATGTCACACAGGTCTCGTCTGGTGAGACAGTTGCAATATGTTGTCATTCTTCCAACAGTGTTTCTGAGTTATAACAAACAGAATTGAAAAAAACATCCCTAAAAGAATAATAAATGACTACATTATAACAAATGATTCAGGTAGAAAAGAAGAAGGTAGAAGAAATATGTGATGAATATTAATGTCATATAGTGACTGAATGTTCAGAGGCCTCGATAAAGTTTGAGAGTTGACAATCTTACAGATCATTTTTGCAGCAAAAAAAGTTTATGAATATTGGAGGGGTATGTATTTGTCTAAAAAATATTAATATAGTTAATATTATAATATTAAATCAAACAGGGATGAATCCTGGAATAATAAGTTCATAAACGAGAAACATTCATGAAACTTCACATATTGCTGATGATCCCCAGTGACTTCACTTCTTCCTTTCCTCCTAATATTATGAAATTTGACTTTTTAATATTAAAGAGCTTATTGAGTTGAAACCATCATACAACTCTCACCAATTCCTAATTTGTATTATTTATTAATAATGAACACTAAATTATATTAACATACACACTTTCAGAAATTATGAGATATCATAATATATCAACCAAATAGGAAAGAGTGTAATCAGAAAATAAAAGATAAGTGACCTAGATGGTTATGGTATGGCAGAGCTGCTGTCTTACACACTTCTCTGCGCTTTCTCTAGAACAGTCACCCACCCAAACCCCCACAGAGACTTTGTCTGTCCCCCAACCACCTAAATTATTTAAAGAAATAAAAACAAGAGGAGTTCAACATAAAAACCTAATAAACATTAAAACTAACTCCTCAGTGGAACAAAATAAGAGAATGAAATGTGGACTGTTAAATATCAGGTCTCTGTCCTCTAAAGCTGTTTAAGTGAATTCATTAATATCAGATTATGATATTGATTTACTTTGTCTTACTGAGACCTGGTTGTCCCACGAGGACTATGTTAATATTATCATATCATATTAATACTCACATTCCTCGAGGCACCAGCCGAGGAGGTGGAGTGGCAGCCATATATGATTCGAGCGTTTTAATGGACCCTAAACCTAAACTAAATTATAATTCATTTGAAAGCCTTGTTCTTAGTCTTTCTCATCCAAACTGGAAAACACTGCAGCCAGTTCTATTTGTTATAGTGTACCGCGCTCCTGGACCGTACTCTGATTTTATATCTGAATTCTCAGAGTTTCTATCAAGCTTAGTCCTTAAATCAGATAAAGTAATTATTGTAGGTGATTTTAATATTCATGTGGATGTTGACAATGACAGCCTTAGTAATGCATTTATATCATTAATAGACTCAATTGGCTTCTGTCAGAGTGTAAATAAACCAACTCATTGCTTTAATCACACTCTTGACCTTGTTTTATCATATGGCATTGATATTGAACATTTAATAGTCTTCCCACATAATCCTTTCCTATCTGACCATTATTTAATAACTTTTGAATTCATGTTGTTAGATTATAAGCCATTAGGCAAAACTTCCTACAGCAGATTTCTATCTGACAGTGCTGTAGCTAAATTTAAGGAGGAGATTCCTTCAGTGTTTAATTCAATGCCATGTCTGAATTTAACAGAGTCCTATAACGACTTTAGTCCCTCTGAAATTGATAATC